AAGGGAGAAAGGGAGAAAGGGAGAAAGGGAGAAAGGGAGAAAGGGAGGGAGGAAGAAAATAAAGCACAAAAAATTGTTGAATGATAAAGTATCCAGGTTGGAAGGGACCCCTGAAGACCATCTCATTCCAAACTCTGCTCTGTTGGCCAACAGTCTGACGTAGCATGAGGCTGCAACGCTCCTCATTGCTGCTGGAAGTCCTGCACGCAGCGAACCCAGGCAATCACTCACGTCCTCCAATGCTGATATCTGGCTAATGTCAGGCAGGGAGGATTAAAGCCTCCCTCTCAGGCCATCTGCAGTTCCCAGGCAAGCTGACAGCACCTTGGACTTCTCACCCAGGACAAATCCTAGCCCGGTTTAGCACGAGGCAGCCAAACAGCAACTCGCCTTGTCACACCGCGTGCTGTTGACAAAGTTATCGCTTTCCAAACAACCCAGAGCTGAGCCAGCGGGGCCCTCCACCCACTCCAACATGAGAGCATTTCCTGCTGGCCCAGGGAAAGGTTACTGAGGATGCACACAGAGCTGAGACTGCTGCTGCAGGTCACGGAGTCACATTTGAGTCGGAAGGGATCTTAAAGGCCACCTGGTCCAACAACCCTGCAATGAACAGGGACACCCACAGCTCCATCGGGTGCTTAGAGCCACATCCATCCCAACCGTGGATGTCTCCAGGGACAGGGCATCCACCACCTCCCTAGGAAACCAGGCTGTGGGGCTGCACTTGCTTTGTATCAGTGTTTGAGGTCTCAGAAAGGTGTTCTGAACCTGGCAGGCAAAGAGCATGAAAGCCCAAGGTTGGATGTTAAAACTGGACTGTTGTACAGGGGATGAAAAGGCACAAGGAGGAATGCGCTCGAAGTCAACTGGGAATTAAACACTGAGATGCTGTGGCTGTAAAGAGGAGTTTCTGGCTGTTTGAGTCAGTGCTGCAAACTCTCATCCCTTCTTTCTTTGCGATTTGCTGTGCTAGAAAGGATTTCTACACTTTTCTTAAATACTGCAGTGAAGTTGCAAATAATACACTGAAAAATCTAGGTGCAACTACGTGGCCCACATAGCATAACGTGTTAAACAAGAACTAAAAACGCACCCCAGCCTGAGACTCACAAAGTTCTGGCAAATGCAAGTGGGAAATGGAAACGTGGGCAACACTGCATGGACATTAAGCACCCTCTGGATGGAAGACCTGTGAAGCAAAGCAGCTCAATACTCTCTCCTGCTCTCTCTTCACATGGTGATCTTGAAGCACAGAATAATTAAGGGTGGAAAAGACCTCTAAGGTCACCTTGTCCAACCATCCACCTACCACCAATATCACCCACCAAACCATGCCCGGGAAGCTCGTCACACCTCATCCAGCAGCTGCCTTATGCACGTTACTAGCAGCTCTTCGTGACCACCGTATCTCTTTTGCTCCAGCACCAAGCCTGTGGTTTTGGCAGAATAAGCTGAAAACTTGCTGAAAACTTGTGGTTTTGCACCAATCTGGGTAGAGAAATTGCCTGGTGTGCCTGTTTCTAAGCAGCCACGGGGACTGCAATGAGTTGTGTTGCATGTATGCAATAAACACCTGCTCCACAGCAGTGGTGCTGGCAGGGGAAATGGGAGAGGCCTCATCGCCCTTTAGACCGGGCACCAAGACGGTGGAGTGGTGAGACAGAGATGAGGTTTAAATGCTTGTGAAAGCAAGGAAGAACTCAGTGAGATAACACAGCACTGAGATGTTATCAGAACATCTGCACTGTGTCCATCACTCACCCATCTTCCCTTGAGGAACTGTTCCCTCTCGGTCCCACGCACCACAAAAAGCACAGAAAATAGACATGCGTAAGGTTCCTCTTTCCACCAGGGCACTCACGTCTCCAATTACAGCACGGAGGAAGTTATCAGGTTGCAGCAGAATTTCACTATTGCCATAATTTCGCGGGGAGAAGAAGATTAATATGAGAACATAATTTCCACAGCCAGCAGCCGCGCTCCAAGCGGTGCTCACTGTGTCAGACAAAACCACAGACGACAACCCCAACTCAGCCAGGGCTCTGATTTGGGACCAGAGCCTGGAAGCAGTCTCCTGAAAGCAAGACCAGAGGAGCGAGAGCTGGAAAGAAGGGGCAGAGACATTTCTGAGCCTCACCAAGGAAAGGGAAGGTGGGTGGTGATGGGTTGATGGGTTGGTGGTTGGACTTGATGATCTTGGAGGTCTTTTCCAACCTTAACGACTCTACGATTCCTCCATTAGGAAATACCCTGCAAGAAAACAAGATTTTCTTCTGAAAAGCCTCATGCTTGCAGCACATTTCAGTCCCAGCTAGAAATAGAAATTGCTGGGGACTCCAGACAACAAAGCCAACTGGAGGGATATCCCTTCCCAAATGGAGAAGCCAATGGAGACACACAAGCCGAAAGGCAGAGCTGGGATTAAACTCTGAGCGTTGCACCATGCTGTGACTTTCCATAGGAAGGGAGGAAGATGAGGAGAGAATTCTTCTCACCAGCTGGATTCCTTCTCCTGCTGCCCAGCCCTGGGTCCGACGCCAACACCTTGTGCAAAATTCAACGCACCAACCTGACAGGTTTTCCATCCACACCAATCGCACGTTCGAGCTTAATGGTTTTTCATGCAGATGTAACTTAATTAACTGACTGCCTGATTACATCCTATATGAGATTTTTAGGCAGCTGAGACCATTGCACATTTGCAGAGCTGCTCCTGCCAGCCGTCATGTGCTATGCCACCTCAGGACGAGCTGCCCACACGTTGCCCATGATTTCATATTAACACCTAAGACGAGACCATGGAACTGCAAGTACATATGTACTTTTTCTTTTCTTTTTTTTAAACACAGATGCAAAAAATACAATATTAGACATGAGACAAGGGTGGCTTGAGCAAGTTGATGTCAGCTCACCTTTCAAGTGCCATCCTCCAAAGTCAGAATCATAGAACAGTTTGATTTGGAAGGGACCTTTAAAGCCAGCTGGCTCAACACCCCTGCAGCGCACAGGGACACACACAGCTCCATCAGATGCTCAGAGCCCCTTCCTCGTGACCCTGGGTGTCTCCAGGGATGGGACACCACCACCTCTCTGGGCAACCTCTGCCAGCACCTCACCACCCTGATCATAAACACTTTTCCCTTATACCCTGTCTAAATCTCTCCTCCTTTAGTTTGAAACCATTTCCCCTCATCCCATCACAACAGACCCCACTGAAGAGTGTTCCCCTTTCTCACAACCCCCCTTCAGATACCGAAAAGCTGTTAAGTCATCAGCTCTCACTGATATTGAGAGTGTTATCCCTCTGGCACAGCGGGATGAAGGCCTTGCTGGCACTGAGCTAACAGCACCAGCCCCTCTGACACAGCCTCTGGCCCCGCACGCAGAGCATGGCCCACTGCTGGCAGGTGGACCTGACGGAAAGCCAGCACTGCTGCCAAAAGGCCAAAAAAACATTAATTAGAGCAAGTGTTAGATTTATTCCCCATCTCACCTCTCCTCAGCCAAGGAAACTACAGTTAGCTTTGCCTAAAGAAACAGGCTGAGCTCGTTTCGGGTAGTGCAGGCAATCAATACAGGCACGCAGCATCGGGCTGAGGAGAGCTGCTCTGCAGCTGGGGCACAAAACATCCTTCCCTCCCCATGAGAGCCACTGGGCTGTCCAGGCAAAGCCAAAAACACAGCTTACATTCTCCTCCACTCGCAGTTTTGGGAGAGAATTTCCCCTGCACAGGAGCAGAGAGCGCCTGCTTACAGGAGTGGGGAAAGCAGTGCCAGCCCACACGGGGTTCCTCCAGCCAGGTTTTGGCTCAACAGAGCTGTGTCAATGGGTCCTTTGTAATACCTGAGTACCAGAAACTAATTTTCATTTATTTTGTGCTGGATTTTTTGGTGGCAGTGGTTCGGTTCTATTCAATAAAGCCAGTGTAAGCCAGAAATAGATGTTGTTTTCCTGTTAAAACAAAGACAACCCAGGCTGGACCTGATACTGCTGTTCTACAGGCACGTCAAGGAGTGATACCCAGAGCAGAAATGGAAATGAGGTTTTAACAAAACAACTTCTAAAAAGTGACCTATCAAAGTTAGGCTGAACAGAGTCCAACAGATTAAACCCAGGTGAGTTGATGCAGTACATACAGAACAAATCCCTTCTACAACAGAGCTGACATCTGACAACTAATCCCTTAAAAACTGGAATCATTTTACACCACATACAAAACAAGCTGATAGCAAACTAACCAGCAATGAAACCTCTCAAAAGGTGCTTTATTGGCAAGCTTCAGCCCTTTCTCATCTGGGGACAGAAGGACTAGGGCAGGAGGTGCTTTCCACCCACCTCTGTCCATTTGGAAAGTGGCAAAGTGTGGTAGGAAGAGCCCAGGGTTTGCCTAGAACAAGTCTGCCCCCTCCAGCAGCACCTCTGGCAGCAGGTTTCAATGCAAACCTTTTCCATACGTGGCCAATTATTCACTTTAATGCAAGAACATTTCAATAAAGCTGTTCAACATCGCAAAACAGCTTGAGGTAAAATTTCTCTCCTGTATCTTCCCACTTCAGCTTCAGGAGCGTACCAGTTGGCGTCTTGGCATTCTGCTCTCTGATGACAGACAGATTGGGTGGGAGAAAACGATTTAAAAATAAGGAAAATCAGCACAAAAACCTGTTGCACTGACGAAGCCTGGAGTCCTGTTAGCTCTCCTCGTTGCACCGCTTCCCACCAGCAACCTCGCATCACGGACGGCCTCCCCGATGCTCGTGCAGCAGTCTCCTGCTCAATGGGAAGGCAACGTTTTTAGGCAGACGCATGTTGCTGATCAGCTGGGATCACAAGAGGTGCTGGATGAGCAGCAGTGCCTCCCCAGTGAGGCAGCACAGCCCTTCCACCATCCGCAGAGCTCCCCAAAGCCAGCTGTCTCCCAGCCCCACCGGTGGCCGGAGCTGTTTTTCCAGCTGCGTGCCATCTTTTTGGATGCAGTATGAATAACAAGAGCAGTACCACCTTGTGTGAAACAGAGCCAATGAGGCAGCCAGCTCTCCTCGCTCAAACATTCGCCTTTGGATCAATAAGGGCTTGATGAACTGCAAGCTGCAGGATCTGGGGGGCCGGGGAGGACGTGCTGGTTCAACTCGGGCTTGTAAAGAAAGCAAACACAAAGGAGCCATTAAGAGAAGACACAAAACCTTTGAGTGATACTAATCAGTTTTATTTTATAAATACAGATGAGCTTTCCCGCAATTACCAAGATAGTTTTAATGTGTCACTGACTATGGGATACTTTGTCTTGGCTTGTTTTAAATACCTGGTCAAGCAAGGAGAAGCCAATGCTGTTGTGCTCGCTATAAAAATAGAGTGGGATATGATCTTCCAAAACTAATATTCTCAAAAAAAACAAACCTTGGGAGTTCCTAGTGAGGGGGATAAGATTGCAATGCAATGTTTTCTCCACTTGAAGACATTCACAGGCATTTAACAGTGTCACAGCTGTGCAGGAACTGAAAGGCTCCTGACAGTTTAAAGCACGCTGTGATCTATCTTCTCACCTTCCAACTTGCTCTTTGTTTCCCTCCCACTATGCCGTTTTCAAAGTCATTTACTGGGGAAGAAAATAAAATCACAACAAGAAGCTGCAGTCTGTACAATCCTCCCATCCTCCACAGCAACGATGTTGGCCGATGCCTTAATTAGCCCTACAGTGTCGTCCCTCCCCTTCACACCCTCTATATAAAAGTGGTAAAAATAAGCCTGGGAGCAATTCAAGGTCTATGAAAGATACATCCATAGAAAGCCCGGAGAAGCTATGTGACAGACAGATGCAGAAATCAACTGTTGTATCTGACACATGAACAATCCCAGGGCTCCAACGGGAACAGCAACGCGAGAAAAATAAACTTCATTTGGTTGGGTGCCACCTGAGAAAATGCGCAACTAACAAACAAAATCTGAAGTCCCACTGATGCTCTACAAACCTAATTACGTGTCGCCTAATTGCTCTGAGACACTCTGAGTTCGCCTATGGAACACTGCGACTTCACAGCTACTCTTTGGGTTGCTCCGAAAAGTCACCATCATACACAGACTACTGTCGTCGTGATAAAAGAAAATTAGTGTGACCACAATCCACCCTGGGCTGCTTCAACTGTGCCTGATTTCACCCCTCAGTGTGCCCAACCGACTCAGTACTGAATTTTGGCTAAAACTGAACTGCTGACAGGAGTTAGCAAGGAACAATTAGAGGATCTTCTGCCTGCCTCAATGAGAACGTGCTGTGTTGGCTCTGGGGATTCAATTCTGGCTCTCAGTGCACCAAAGTGCGGTGGAAATTCCCTACTTATTCCTTCTGATGATGATGGCAGTGAGTTAAGCCTTCATGGATGTTTTCCACAAGGTTTCAACAGAAGAGTTTATTCAGGGGGGAAGATACTCACGAATGTGTCCAAATTCGTGCCTGAGTTTGCAACAATGCATTACAAAAGCGAGGTTTCTGCTTCTGAGTGCTTCCACCTTACTGAGACAGACCAAAGAAATGATTCAGCAGAAAGGTTCAATCCAACAATTCATGGTAGCACAGCCCAATCCAACAATTCTTGGTAGCACAGCCCAATCCAACAACTCATGGTAGCACAGCCCAATCCAACAATTCGTGGTAGGCACAGCCCAATCCAACAATTCATGGTAGGCACAACCCAATCCAACAATTCATGGTAGCACAGCCCAATCCAACAATTCATGGTAGGCACAACCCAATCCAACAACTCATGGCAGCACAGCCCAATCCAACAATTCATGGTAGCACAGCCCAATCCAACAATTCATGGTAGGCACAGCCCAATCCAACAATTTGTGGTAGGCACAGCCCAATCCAACAATTCATGGTAGGCACAGCCCAATCCAACAATTCTTGGTAGCACAGCCCAATCCAACAATTCATGGTAGGCACAGCCCAATCCAACAACTCATGGTAGCACAGCCCAATCCAACAATTCATGGTAGGCACAGCCCAATCCAACAATTCATGGTAGCACAGCCCAATCCAACAACTCATGGTAGCACAGCCCAATCCAACAATTCATGGTAGGCACAGCCCAATCCAACAATTCATGGTAGGCACAACCCAATCCAACAATTCGTGGTAGGCACAACCCAATCCAACAATTCATGGTAGGCACAGCCCAATCCAACAATTCGTGGTAGGCACAACCCAATCCAACAATTCATGGTAGGCACAACCCAATCCTACAATTCATGGTAGCACAGCCCAATCCAACAACTCATGGTAGCACAGCCCAATCCAACAATTCATGGTAGGCACAACCCAATCCAACAATTCGTGGTAGGCACAACCCAATCCAACAATTCATGGTAGGCACAACCCAATCCTACAATTCATGGTAGCACAGCCCAATCCAACAACTCATGGTAGGCACAACCCAATCCAACAATTCATGGTAGCACAACCCAATCCAACAATTCATGGTAGCACAACCCAATCCAACAACTCATGGTAGGCACAACCCAATCCAACAATTCATGGTAGGCACAGCCCAATCCAACAATTCGTGGTAGGCACAACCCAATCCAACAACTCAGTGGTAGACACGACTGTTAAAGCTAACAGAAGAAATGTGAATATAGTTTTAATACAGTCATTAAAGTGTTACCTGGAAAATGAATATTCTAGAATGGTGCTATTGTGTATATTGGTTCTCGTGTACACACCTTGCTTTGACAACAGATAGTTGAGATTATACATATCCACATTTTAAGAAGTTAATTTAGACTAGCCTTATGTTGATCTTAGGAGAGATAGTAGGTCATTGGTTCAAAAAGAAGCATGGACCAGGGAGGAAAACAAAAAAGCCAGGCATGATGAAGCTATATATCTTTTATATTTGAGAGCTCGTGACCAAGCCTGAATTCTTGGTCATGCAATACAGAAAGCAAGAGCAATGGAATCCAAACTCAAACAAATAGCAGGAATCACAAAACGGGCTGCTAATGGCTTTGCCATTAGTTAGCCAAACACATGTGCCAGGGGTGAGCAGCCCCACAACAAAGCTCCAACCAAAGGCTCTTCCTTAACACACAGAGGGTCCAGTTAAAGGGATATTAATGAATTATGCCGAGTGCTTCCCTTCTACAGAGGGCAGAGTGATTCCACAGGTTTGCCTAATTCCAAGCGCTGAGCATGGTGGGTGAACCCCGCTCACACTGTACGCTCGTCAGGCTTCCGCTGATTAGCTTGGAGATAATGAAGTTCAATGGAGAATGAGACACGAGGTTTTCCTAACAAACCTTAGAGGTGATTGGGTGCTCATGGGCTCTACCAGAAGGAAGACTGAGCGTGGAGGAAAGGAGGAAACACGATGATTCAGGCACAGAGAGACCTCAGGTGCTCTCTCTCTGGCAAGTGCACACCACCAGCTGGAGGCCCATCAGTGCAAACTCCCACAGCAGCACAGTGCAGCCAAGAGAAAGCTGTCTGACTATGGCCAACTCATGGCATTTCATGGCTGCACTGCCCAAGAAAGCACAGGAGTACATGGGAGAACACCAAGAGCTCTTATCATAATCATATTTTTAAATTAACTCCTTTTTTTTTTTTCCTTCTGATAAGATTAAAATAAGTTTAATTCTAAATGATAATTCAGAAAACAAATACCCATAGGAGGGCCAGATCAGCACTTGAAGTTTTTTTTTTCCAGGAAAGCGCTTACAAATGGACTCCACCGCCTAAAAAAAACCCACAAAACCCAACAGATTATAAATACCAGACACAAGAGGACTGGAAGCAGAACCAGAATTTACCTGGGCTGTGAATATATACCATGATCCTGTGTTATCGTGCTCAGTAACAAGTCCGTTTGTCCTAACACCATTGGAATAGCTTTAGCTTTTTATATATATATATATATATATATAATTAATATAAAGAATAAGTGCAATTTTATCTCTATTCCAGATCGCTGATTTCACCCCAATGTCCGCCATCAAATCCCTGCCCCAGCTCACTTGTCCGAACTTTTGCGCGGCCTGCGGAAGCTGGACATGTTTTCATTCAGTGCATAGATCCTCCGAGAGAACTCCTCAAACTCCCCCAGGACCTGTTCATCACACTCCACTGCCACGGCGTGCTCCACAGGGATGGAGTTAAAGTCTTCTAGCTGATCTCCCGTGCTGAACCCTGTCGCTTCCATCCCCATTATTTCCTCTGCTTGCTCCACCGTGCAGCAAAGGACGGGGCCGAGCGAGGGCCGAAACTCACAAGGCTGCTCACTGCTTACGGTGCTGGAACACTCAGCGGGCAGCAGCGCCCCATTTATTGCACTAGTATGTCCTAGGAAAGACTCCTGCTGGTCTTGGGTATTGGTTAGGCTCCCGTTTTCTCCATTTAAACTGCCACACGTGTCCTCTCCTTTCTTATTTCCTTTTGAGGAGTCCATGGAGGTATCGAGGGAAGAAGATATCGATCCGGGTTTTTTATCTAATCCTCCCACATGGGCTGCGATGGCCACGGGCTGCGTTAAAGCCGAGTTGTAACTAGGAGGAGGAGTTTTGTACTGCAGTCTCTCGTTTCCCGTGCTAGCTCGTTTTCGGAGTCCTTTATCTGGAGAAGGAAGCCCACTGGAAAAGCCAACATCCAATCTGCCGAAGCTAGAGCTCTGCCTCTTTGGAACAGGAATTGCACTGGATGTATGGTGTCGATCACTATAAAAGAAGGAAAGGATAAATCACAGCTGTCAGGCACGCTCACGAGCAATACAGATGTTTCACCAAAGGCTGAAGCAATTACTTTATCACAACTCCGAGCTCTGTCTGGCCAACCACTTGTATCCTAAAGTGCTAAAAAGCCCACAAGTGTTTAACGCCATATGAACTGCAGAAGACACCCCGGAGGACAGCTTTACTGAAAGCCGGCAAGATCGTGAGGGGAACATTTACGAAACTCCACGACTTGAAGAGTCAATCACCCAAGAAACCACCACGTCACGTTAATTCGGACTGTTAACACCGTTTTATAGGAGCAGGCTGCGCTTTATGAATTATTACTGTTGACCGTGTATTTATGTATTTATGGCCTGTGCTGGGCCATCATAAACTCTTCAAAAGCAAGTAATAAGGGCTGAATCCT